TTTGTGTTGGTGTTTGTGTTTGTGTGTGTGTGTGTGTGTGAATGTGAATGTGGGTACCTGAGGAGGCCAGAAAAGGGCTTCTGATCCCCTGGAGCTGGAGTTACAGGCATCTGTGAGCAGTCCAATGGAGGTGCTGGGGGTCAGAGGTTAGTCTTCTGCAAGACCAGCAAGTACTCTCCTCTCTCTAGCTCTCTTTTTTTTTTTTTTTTTTTTTTTTTGAGACAGGGTCTCCCTGTAGCCCCAGCTGTCCTGGAACTCACTGGAGACCAGGCTGGCCTTGAACTCACGGAGATCTGCCTGCCTCTGCCTCCCAAGTGCTGGGACTACAGGCGAGCGCCACCACGCCCGGTTCTGTTTCTTTTTTAACAATCTCCCACTAGACCTGGAATTTGCCTTGTCAGCTAGGCCCCAGTGATCCTCCTGTCTCTACCTCTCCAGTGCTGGGGTTACAACCATGTATCACCACACCTAGCTTTTTGCCGTAGGTTCTAGGGATTAAAGTCAGGTCCACTCTTGCAAGGCAAGCACTTTATCAACTGAGCCATTGCCCCAGCCCTCAGTCAGCTGTTTTGAATGATTTATTACCCAGAGAGACCAACTTAGGTACTAATAGATGCTGTTGTATGTGTGTGTTCTACGTTTTAGTTTTGGCATCTGAGAAAGACATTTTCCTTTGCACTGGGACATTAATTATATATAGAAGTCATGTGTCTTAAGAGGAAGAGGGAAGGGATGGATGGGTCACAGATCCGAACTCCAGGCAGTGCTCAAACCAAATTTGGTAATGTTGACTTAAAGCTCTCAACCCCCCACCCCCACCTCCCAGCAGCATCATGGAAAACATTGGAACTGTTTTCTGTGGAACGGTGAATGATGAGGCTTGCTCACTGAAATTCTGTTAATCACAAAGGAAGACTGTAAACTGTCTCCTCCTCTCTCTTTTCAAACAGGATCAGTTTGACAACTTGGAAAAACACACACAGTGGGGAATCGATATTCTTGAAAAATATATCAAGTTTGTGAAGGAGAGGACTGAGATTGAACTCAGCTATGCAAAGCAACTCAGGTAAGGTGTTGAAGAGACAACTGTGGAACTGCAAATACATGCAAGTTGATGTCTTTTTTTTATTAAACATGTTTCATTACATTTATCGATGTGTGTGTATTAGAGCGAGAGCGAGAGAGAGAGAAAATGAGCCTGCAGGAATTCTCCTTCTACCATGTGGGTCCTGGGCATCAAACTCAGGCTGTCAGACTTGGCAGTAAGCACCTTTACCCACTGAGCCATCTATTGGCCCAAATGGCAAGGATATTTATTCTCATTTTATAGTGTACATGTGTAATCTTTCCCATTTATATAGAGTAATATTTCAATGGAAACAGCTGTTGTTAAAACAGAAAATTTTCATAGGACGGTAAAAATAAAGTCATTGCTTTTGTTTGCCCAGTGTTTTGGTTTTTTTTTTTTATTTATTTTTTTATTTTGAGACAGGGACTCACGTAATCCAGGCTGGCCTTGAGTTTACTATGTAACTGAGGCTGGCCGGCCTTGAACTCCTGATCCTCTTATCTCCACTTCCTAAGTGCTGGGATGACAGGTTTGTAGTGTGTGTGTGTGTGTGTGTGTGTGGGTGTGTGTGTGTGTGTGTTGTGTTGTGTTTTGAACTAGTTTGTAATGCTTCCAACTGAAAGTGAGTCAGGTGCCGCTAGGCAAATCCTCTACCCTGTTCTCTGCCTCTAGAAAAAGAATGTTTTTTTTTAAAGAATGTTGAATTTTGGAACAACTTGGTTATCACTAATCATCTTGTTGGAACAGTCACATGAACAGAGAAGTGCACAGGTCTGATGTGAACAGCCCCCTCCGCAGGGAGCCAGGTGCCTTGGATCAGTAGAGCCTTCCTTGATGTTTCTGTAGAGAGAAGCGTCTGCTTTGCTTTCTTCTTCTTTTTAAAATCTCCCTTCCTTCCGTCTGCATCATGCCTGTGAGGTTCATCCACATTGTCACCCCTGGTGGGAATTTGCTGATTCTCATTGCTGCCTGTGGATTTCCACAGCGCTTCTGTTCTGCTGTTGTTTGGGGTCAGTTGTTTCTGCCTGTGCAGGTCCTCGATGCAGATCTGAGCAGCTTCCTTCACTGTAGGAGTGGAGCTGCTGACCGTGGGGTACAATTCTGCCCAGCTTTAGTGCTGCTTGGACTAATTTACACTCCGACGCTATGTGAGGGGCCTGGGGAGCAGTATTTGAAAAGAATCATTATTGGAGGAGTTCTTAGGTTTGAAGCCTGGTCCCTGGCAGTCCCAACAACCAGTCTTAGCCACCCACCCGTCCCCAGCATACCCATTAAAGAGACAAGTCATAGGGAAAGGTAGAGAAGGATTTACCTTGGTGTGGCCACATTGGGACGAGGAACAGAGAGGCACAGTGACCTCCAGTCCGTCTTCATTGTCCAAGATAAAGTTTTAGGTTTAAGTAGGAGGCAAGAGGTATGTATGACGAATAGTCCTGGCCATGAGTGATGGGTCATTGCTTAGCCGCAGTATGTCCTGCAAGGTAGTCTGACAAGTTGTCAGAACTGTGTGAAATTTCTTCCTGGGAGAAAAGTTCCTTCTCTTGTCAGCACTAGGCTTTGCCTTTTTTTTGGGGGGGGGGTCTTTTTGAGACAGGGTCCTCCTGTAGGACAGGAACTCAGAGATCTGCCTGCCTCTGGCTCCTGAGTGCTAGGACTAAAAGTGTGCACCACCCGCAGCTTTGGCCTTTTAATACCATGCCATAGTGCACGTCAGAGGCAGTTTTGTAGAGTCAGTTTTCTCCTTCTATTTAAAAAAAAATAATTATTATTTTTATTTTATGTATGCGTGTATTGCCTGTATGTACGTAAGTACACCCATGTCATGCAGTGCCCGAGGAGGTCAGAAGAGGGTGTCGGATCCCCTGGACTGGAGTTACAGATGATTGTGCACTGACATGTGGGTGCTGGGAATTGAACCCAGGTCTTCTGCAAGAACAACCAGTGTTCTTAAACACCAAGCCCTCTCTCCAGCCCCTATTATTTTTTATGTGTATAAGTATATTGCCTGCATGTATGTAAGTGCATCTGTGTTCTACAATGCCCTTGGAGGTCAGAAGAGGGTGTTGGATCCCCTGTAACTGGAGTTACAGACAATTGTTAGCCACCAGGGTGCTAGGAATCAAACCTGGGTCCTCTGCAAGAGCAGCCAGTGCTCTTAAGCATTGAGCCATCTCTCCAGCCCCAAGGAAGACCCTGTCTTAAATGACAGAATACATAAAATCTGGCAGGAGGGCTATAAGAAGAGGGATAGCTAGGGGAAGAGGTCTAAATATCACCAAAACATATAGTATGACATTCACAAAAATTCAGTAAAAATTATTTTAAAAACAACAAAAAAAGAATATTCTCTTTTATGCCAGGGAGATCATGTACTTCTTTAATCTTTAATGATGAAATTATCTAGGAAACTTGTTTTTGATATAAAATACTTAAAAATTGTTGGTAGGGGGCTGGGAATGCAGCTCGGTTAGCAGAGTGCTTGCCCCCCATGCATAAGGCCCTGAGTTCCGCCCCTAGCACTGCATAAACTGGGTGTTGGTGGTGCAGACGTGTCACCCCAGCACTCAGGGGGTAGAGGCAGGAGCATCAGGAGTTCAAGGTCATCCTCAGCTACTGATAAGAAGGATCCTACAGGGTTATTATTTTTGTTCTTTTAAGTAGCTAAGTGGCATCTGTAGAATGTTCTTAGGGGCCACACGTTTTGTTTGCATTGAGTAACTAGAATGCAGACGTCAAGGAAACCATGTTTCTAAGGGGCTGGATCCAGGTCAGTTTCTAGGACCCTGCATGAGTCTGGGTCTCACTGGTGCTTTAAGACCTTTCATTCTAAAAGTGGGAATAGCAGTGACCACTTTGCATGGGTTAGTGCCCGTGTGCTGTCACTCACGGGCATCTGGGCTGCACCACCTTTTAGTCCAGGTCTTCTCAGGGATTTTTTGGGTTTTGTCACTTTCCTTTCTCTTCTGTCAGCATGAACTCCTTCCTGGTGCCTCTGTCCACTGTCTCCTTTGGCTTCGGAGGTCTGTCAGCAAGCAGCCTTGCGGGCAGTGAGGTGGTGCTCCCTCTCCCCTGGAAACCTCTTCCCCTGGTGACCCCTGGATTCCTTCCATCTCACCGACTTTATATTGAAGCTATGACATTTAGTGGCTGGTCCAACTCCCTCGATGGTCCTGCATCTTCTGTCCCTTAACACTGCCGTGTCTATTTCCTGCCTCTTCCCCACTCAATCTGTGCTCTCTCCATGACCCCAGCTGTGCTGGCTCTAGTGCCCATTGGAGCAGCCACTCATTCCCAGATGTATCTCTCCAAGCCACCCCTCTCTCCCGAACTCCAAAATCTTGCTTGGATTTCTAAAAACATGTGCACCTGCTCGTGTCTGAAACTGAACTTCTGATCCCGTTGACTGGGTCCCTGCCTTTCCGAGGCTCTGCTTCTCCAACCCATGAGTGGCCCTTCCTGGCTTAGGGCATGATGCCCTAGGGTCCTTTCTGTGTCCTTTCTTGCCCATTCACCGCAGCCAAGCCATCAGGACAGGTCAGCCACTCTGCTCTGCACATTGACCAGGACCAGGACACCGCCATGTCTCAGCGCCTCTGAGCTCCCTCTGGCCCCAGCTCACTGTTGTCACTCGCCTGGGTCATCACAAGTCCAGTCTGCCAGCTGCCTCTCCACCTCCTCCTGCTGCCTGCCTGTTTTCTGTAGCACAGCAGGATCCGTTTCCCTCAGCAACGCCTGTTTCATTCTGACTAAATCCAAAGTCTCTGAGTAGCAAGTACCCTAAACCCCTGCTCGCCTGGTCTCTCCTCCGGTCATGACCTGGACTAGCTCGCTCTCTATAAGTTGCAGGAGACTGCTCATTTGCTTCCTGTTCTGCTTTTAATTGTGGAGGTCAGGGGCAGGGTTTCCCTCCCTCACACTTCCCAGCTCTGCTCCTTCCTCCTTTGTTTCTGGTTAGTTCTCACACAGTGGCTATCTCACGGCTTTCTTGTCAGCTTGACAAAGCATCACACGTGTGTTCATTCCCCTCTGGTTTCCGTGCTGAGCTCGTTTCCTGAGTCGGCATGCCCCTCTTTGCCCCACTCTGCTGTGTCCGTGGTCTTGGGACTCCTGCTGTACTGCGTTGTGTCTGGTTAAGTTTCTCTGTGGCATGAGCTACTCCACAGCCGCTTCACCGCTCCTCTTCCCTGTATGTTTCCACCCAGGCTGGCTTGTCCTCCTCCGTCCACCCCTCTCCTCCCCCACTGCCTGCCAGGTCTTGTGACTTTGCTTGTGTCTGACTTCTTCGGAGGTTTGGTAAAGTGGCTGACTCACGTTCTAGTGATCCAGGACCTGGGATGTCACCCTGGCGTTGCTCTCATTCGATAGCAGTTGTGCTTTGGGGGCAAATTGGTCTCCGTGATGTATTTATTTTTAGTTGAAGACGTGACGAGTGATAATTTCTACCATCTAAGGCTGTCGAGGAGACTGTGTCATCTACTTTCTCTGTGCTGTGACCAAATACTTGACAAGAAGGGACATAAGGATGGAAATGTCTGTCTTGGCTCACAGTTGAGGTTACAGTCCATGGTGGTGGGGAGGGTGTGGTAGGCGGAGCCCGAGTCACCTGCCATCAGAAGCAGAATGAGGGAGATGCTGCTGGTCGGCTTGCTTTCTCCCTCCCATAGGTTCATTTTTTCTTTGGCTTTTTGTTTTTAATATTTTATTTATCATTTTTATTTTATGTGTATGAGTGTATTGCCTGCATGCGTTAAGTGTACCAGTATCATGCAGTGCCCATGGAGTTTAGAAGAGGATGTCGGATCCCTTGGAACTGGAGTTACAGACAGTTGTTAGCCACCATGCGGACACTGGGAATTGAACTCGGGTCTTCTGCAAGAGCAGCCAGTGCTCTTAACCACTGAGCCATCTCTCCAGCCCGTTTTTTGTTTTAGAGATATGGTTTTACTATGTAACCCTGGCTGACCTGGAACTTACTGTGTAGATCAGGCTGGCCTGGAACTCATAGAGATCCACCTGCTTCTGCCTCCCAAGTACTGAGATTAAAGGTGGGTGCCACCATGCCCAGCCATGCTTTCACCTCTTTATTCAGGAGGTAGGATAGCCCATGGAATGGTGCCACCCACATACAGGGAGGGCCTTCCCACCCAGTTAAACCTCACTGGAAATGCCCTCGAAGACACACCCAGAGATGTACTTCCATGGTGACTGTAAATCCAGTCAAGCTGTCTGTGAAGATTAACTGCCACAGGTACCTCCGGAGAAGAGATACTGCAGGTCCTCCAGCAGCCGACACCGGGTATGCTGGCCACACATGTGCGGATGTCACTGGACGTGACTGCCCCTTCCTGTGTTCCTGTCCTTCTCTCCAGACTCCATCTGAGACTGAAGCACTGTGTGCTCCCTGAAGCTGGGGGCTAGGCACCGGGGCCTTGGAGAATTGGTTGGGGAGGGGCCTGGCTTGGAGATTCTGAGCTCTGTTGTCTGTCCTGAAACTTCGTTGAAGGGTCTACTGTGGGCTGATTCCATTAGACAAAGAGGTCATGCTCCTGTGCAACCCCTAGGTGCATGGGGGATCCCTGCACACATGTAGCCTGAGAACCGGAGAGTGTAGACCACAAGCCATCCCCCCACCCCCATGTCCTACTCCTGCCCACATCCTCGGAGTCCAGGCACAGATGTTTTCAGGCAGCGCTTCCTGTCCCTGAGTACATCTTCCAATTCACTTTGTCTCTCTCTGAGCTGATTCAGGGTTGTGGCTAGGAGGGTGGGGAGAGCATCCGTTCTAAACTGCCCCAAGTCTTCTGTCTCTCCCCCAAGTACCTTTTTCCATAGAGTATGGACTGAGGATAATGTCTTGCTTCATTTATTTTCTGTTACTGAAAACCTTCCTGCCCCTGTGTGTGTGTGTGTGTGTGTGTGTGTGTGTGTGTGTGTGTGTTGAACCCAGGGCCTCCCACATGCTAGCAGTCTATCACAGAGCTACACCCCTGGTCCTTTTGTGTTTGATTAAATTAATTAATTAATTTATAGACAGGGTCTCACCGTATAACCCTGGCTGGCCTAGAGCTCTCTGTACTGTAGACCAGGCTGGCCTTAAACACAGGAATCCACTTGCCTCTGCCTTGCAGGTGCTGTGATTAAAGGCCAGGCAGACTTTGAATGTATGAGCCTCCTGCCTCAGCTTCCTGAGTAGCTGGGATTATAAGTCTGGGTCTCTGGTCTGGCTCTAGGCCATTTTCTGTTTGAAACCTTTTCTTGTTGGGAAAGCACTGCTCTCCTACCACCCTGGTCCAAAATCTCATGGTGAGCTTTTAGAAAAATAACAGAACACAACCCCAAACATTCCCAGGCGCCACCCTAGAGGTTCAGGTTCTCAGCTCCTGGAAAGGGGCCCAGGCATCTGATTTAAACATCTCCCTGTGGTCTGCAGGGTCAGCCAGATCTAAGCTAGCAGCCTCATTAAAACGAATGCTTCCTTCTGCCCTCCTCATTAGTCTACCAGAAAGGCTAGTTGAGTTTAGACAGCACATCTGCTCCCTAGACACACCCAGAAATGTGAAGATGCTTTGAGGGCCTTCCTTGCATGCTTGTTTTTAAAATAGCTGTCCCCAGGGCAAGGAGATGAAAAGGTTTTAGAGGGAAAGAACCCTGGACCTGGGATTTGGGAGATGCCTCAGTGGGTAAGAGTGCCTGCTGTTCAAGCATGAAGATCTGAGTTCAAGTCCCCAGCACCACTGTAAAAAGCCAGGTGTGGCCACATAACACCTGTAACTCCAGCTCTGCAGGGGGCAGAGACAAGGGGATGGTTGGGGCTTGTCTATCTGCTTAGCTGCAGGTTCTGTCTCAAGGAAATAAGGCAGAGAGGAGGGCAGACACCTGCTGGCCTCCTGGCCTTTGCATGTGTTGGTGCTTCTGAGCTCATACAGAACACATCACACACACTCATGTACACATATGTGTTTACACTCTGTCCCCCCTGCCCAAAAAAAAAAGAAAAGACAGAAGAGCCTTGGACCTGAGGCTCCTTTTTCGACCTCCACAGCTTTCATATTTACAGTGTGAATGGTTTTAGTGCTTTTCAGAAGCACCTGAGCACCCACGTGGTCAGGGTGAGACCTGAGACCTGTCAGAATTTGGCAGGGCTCAGCAGGGTGTCACCCACATGGCAGGTTTTTAATCATATTGAAGATATGATGGTAAAGGGAACTTACTCTTTCAGAGTGCCTGTTTAGCTGGGCATAGTGGCACAGACCCTTAATCCCAGCACTCAGGAGACTGAGGCAGGAGGATCCTTGAGAGTTCAAGGCCAACCTGGAATACAGAGCCAGGGTTTTTGTTTTTGGTTTTGGTTTTTGGTTTTTTTGGTCTTTCTGAGACAGGGTCTCCCTGTAGCCCCATCTGGTCTGGATTCCCTGTGAAGACCAGACTGGCTTTATACTCACAGAGATCCGCCTGACTCTGCTGGAATGAAAGGCATATGCACCACACTCAGCCAGAGCCAGTTTTTAAAATACATTTATCTATCTATCTATCTATCTATCTATCTATCTATCTATCTATCGATCTATCATCTATCTATTATCTATCAATCAATCATCTATCTATCTATCTATCTATCTATCTATTATCTATCAATCAATCATCTATCATCTATCTATCTATCTATCATCATCTATCTATTATCTATCAATCAATCATCTATCTATCTATCTATCTATCTATCTATTATCTATCAATCAATCATCTATCATCTATCTATCTATCTATTTATTTTATTTTGGATTAAAATATAATTATTAAGCTATTTCATTCGTCTATCTATCATCTCCATGCATCCATCCACCTGTTTGCTGGAGGTATGCAGGTGGATCTTAGAAGACAGCCTGTGGAAGTCAATTTTCTCCTTCCACCTTGCAGGCCCTGGGGATTGAACTCAGGCCTTCAGTCTTGCCTGCGAGCACTGAATCATCTCACTAGCCCTACAGAGTGAGTTTTACCTGCATCTAGTCAGGCTAAACTTCCTTCAATTTCCTTTAACATTTAAGTTATTTTTATGGCTGTCCAGGACTAGAAGCTAAAAAGGAAATGTGGATTTAAATAAATGTTTTTTAAAAATCACAGTTTTGAGAATTTTTATGTGAGGTGTGAACTTAGAAGTGGTATTTTCAATTTGTAAGTTATAATTAGCAAAGGAAATGGTTGCTATTTAAAACACACACTAAAAATACATTGCAGGTAGCCACAGGGCTCTTTAGGGTTACCATATATGATGTCCTGAAGAATCTTGCTGCCCTTACCACCTGCGTTGGCCCAGCCCTGGCTCTGAAGTGATTTTGTTTCCCAACACCGCCCTCAAGTACCTGATGAAGACAGGCCAGTACAGGTCCAAGAAGGGTCTGTGGGTACAGGGCATGAAGCAGTTCTCTCTTGCCTTTGTTTTCCCCTTCTAAGGCACACAGCATGCCCTTATAGAAAATGTTGCTTTTTTTTTTTTTTTTTTTGTTTAAAACAGTCTCATTATGTAACCTGGCTGTCTTGGAACTCGTTTTGTATACCAAACTGGCCTAGAGATCCACCTGCCTCTTACTTCTCAAGTGTGCCACCACGTCTGGCCAAATGATGCTCTTCTATCTGGAATTATTAGGTAAATCTGCTACATTCCCACAACACCAAAGAAGGCGGAGTCTGTGTGTTTGAGTGCATGTACGCATGGCAGGGAGTCTCCTTTCATGTGTGAGCTAATAATTTTATATTACTTTTTATTTACAGGGCTGGAGAGATGGCCCAGCATTTAAGAGCTCTTAAGTATGGCTCTTGCAGAGGACCCAAGTTCAATTCCCAGCACCCACATCAGGTGCCTCACACATACTTGTAACTCCATCTCCGGGGAATCCCATGCCGGTTTTTGGCCTCTGAGGGTACCAGCACGCAAATGGTTAGAGCATGTACATACACATAAAGGAAAATAAAAACAAAAAGGAAAAGCATTCATTAGTGTGATGAGTGTGTGCAGTAAGTGTGTGAGGGCACTGTGTCACAGCACGGAGGACAGAGGACCACTTTGTGGTGTCAGGTCTCTGCGTCACCCTTTATGTGGTGCCAGGGCTCAAACTCAGGCCTTAACCTGCTGTGCCATCACTCCAGCTTCTACCTGGGAAACTTTATGATTTAAAAAATATTTATTTATTTTTATTTTATGTGTATGAGTGTATTGCTTGCATGTATGCAAGTGCACCCATGTGGTGCAATGCCAGCAGAGGACAGAAAAGGGTCGGATCCCCTGGAACTAGAGTTATGAATGGTTGTTTACCTCCATGTAGGTGCTGAGATTTGAACCTGGGTCTTCTGCAAGAATAGCCAGTACTCTTAACCACTGAGCCATCTTTCTAGCCCCAAAAATTTATGATTTTTTAAAATTTGTGAGCACAAGTAGTCATGCCATCTTCTATTCCTGATTTCTCGGTCATCTTTCCAAATAAGGTGATGTGTCTACTTTCTTGTTTTAGGAATCTGAAAATTTATGATTTTTTTAAATTTGTGAGCACAAGTAGTCATGCCATCTTCTATTCCTGATTTTTCGGTCATCTTTCCAAATAAGGTGATGTGTCTACTTTCTTGTTTTAGGAATCTTTCCAAGAAATATCAGCCTAAGAAGAACTCGAAGGAGGAGGAAGAACACAAGTACGTTTGTCACTGAGAAGCGTGTGGTGAGATTCCTGTGTCGTTGGTGGTTATGAACAAGGCAGAGCTCTAGCTGTTCAAATAAGTCGCAGCCCACCTCCCCGTCTGCATCCATTCTGAACTTGGGGGAGAACAAAGGGGAGGATCCGTTCGCTTCTCTTGTCCTGAGTCACTGGCCCCATCCCAGGCTGTTTGCAGTAAATAGGGTCCTGCAAGGCCAGGCAGGCATTGAGGAGTATAAATTCTAGAGTTGGGTTCAGTTTTGTGCTGTCTCTCCAAGATGCATGTGTACCTCACCCAGCAACCGAGGCCTCAGCGTGGATGGCAGAAGCTCTTGTCCCTGAGTTAGAGCAGGTGTCCAGTGCATTGGTAGACATAGATGGATGAGCTTGGAATCACCTCCAGACTAAGAATCAGCACAGCCAGTGATGGCGGGTCGCAGAGTGACTGTGGTTGTGCTGTGGTTGTAATTAATTCCAAGCTGTTTCTCTGGGAACACCCCATGTGTAATGAACCGGCAAGGTCCTGTGGGAGGCCAGCGCAGAGTAGCCCAATTTTAATTAATATTTCCTCAAGTAAAAGCATGTGAGGGCGGAGATGGTCTTGTTTGAGCAGCGGCGGGCTGTGCTCTGTCCCCAGGTACACGGCATGTAAAGCTTTCCTTTCCACCCTGAACGAGATGAATGACTACGCCGGGCAGCACGAGGTCATCTCTGAGAACATGACGTCACAGATCATGGTGGACCTGGCACGCTAGGTGCAGGAGCTGAAGCAGGAGAGGAAATCGGTAAGACACTCAGGGTGTCTTGCCCGAAGATGGCCCACAGACAGTGGGACTGTCCCCAGGAGACTGACAGTTGCATAGAGTTGAGCATTGATAGAGAATGCTGAGGAACCCTGGGCTGGGACTATAGTCCCAGCACATGGGAGACAGAGGCAAGCGGATCTCTGTGGGTTCAAAGTTATCCTGGGGGCTGAAGAGTTGGCTCAATGGTTAAGAGCACTGGCTGCTCTTCCAGAAGACCTGGTTCGATTCCGAGCACCCACATGACAGCTAACACCTTCCTTTAACTCCAATTTCTGGGGATCTGATGCCCTCCTCCAAACTCCATGGGCTTTTGCATGACACCAGTGCACTTATATATGTGTAGGCAATACCAGCCTAGACTACATAGTGAGTTCCAGGGCTACATAGTGAAACCTTATCTCAAAATAGAATAAATAAATAGAGCCAGGCAGGGTAACACACACGTATAAGCCTAGCACTGGAGAGGTGGAGGCAGGAAGATCAGAAGCTCAAGGCTAACCTTGGCTACATACTGAGTTCAAGGCCAGCCTGGGCTAGATACTATCTCAAAAAAACTAACCCCATATACATATGTGTGTATATTGATATTAAATATATAAGAAGAGATACATGCTTTCAAATTAAACTGTTGGTTATGAAAAATCAAAAGCTGATGTGGAATATTTACATTGGCGTTGTGATTCTCAACAGCAAACAGTTTTCTCCTATGTGCTGGCTGAGGGATTGAGCTGGATTTTTTTTTTTTCTTTTTCCTTTCTTTCAACATTTGTGTGCGTGCGTGCGTATGTGTGTGTGTGTGTGTGTGTGTGTGTTTGTGTGTGTATGCATACAGTATGCGTGTAGAGGTCAAAGGACAATTTGCTCTAGTTGGGTCTCCTGTGTGGGTCCTGGAGATTGAACTCAGGCCTTCAGGTTTGGTGGCAAGTACCTGCTAAGCCATCTCACCAGCCCCTGTAGCTGGTGTCTTAGAAGTAGAGGCTCAAAACACTTAAGCCTCCTACCACAAGGAATTATAAAGTCCACAGCTCCCAGGCTGAGGAACCCTGGGCTGGAGCCCTAAACTTGATGATGTTCTCTGCTGGACTAATGGTTGAGGAAGGCATTTCATTTATGAAGTAGATAGGAAGGAGGACTACAGAACCCCAGGGCTCAGGATGAAACATCGCAACCTAATATGATAAAATAAATACACAGAATCTGGAGACAGGCTTGGCCACTGCCTTGCTCCTGAACTTGTTTTGACCTTGCAAAGGTTTCTACCTCCTTCCTGTTTGAGGCTCTGCTCAGTGTTCTGGGCCTTATGACTGACCCTCCTCCACCCAGAGGACTAGCCAACTCCCTAAACAGAAACTGCATTTACCTCAGTAGCAAGTATGTATTCTATTTCAGGGTGAGTAAAGAGACAGTGCACCCAGCAGGCCTCTCCCGCAGCCTCCCCCAGCCTCTGAATTCCTCTTCTCTAGCTCTGCTGGCCTGTGGCCTGGTTCACTGTGTTCCTGCCTCAGGGACTTTGCACTGGTTTTTCTAGCCTTGGAAAGCCCTTTGCCAGGTATCAGCAGAACTTGCTGCTGGCCTTTTCCTTTGGATTGTCACCTTCTCAGGGAGGTATCGTCCTTCTGCCTCATTTACAATTACAAAATCCCGTGTTGGAGAGACGTCTCCGAGATTAAGAGCTCTGACACTGGCTGCTCTTGTAGAGGACTTGGGTTCGGTTTCCAGTACCCATGTGGTGGCTCACAACTGTCCTTAACTCTAGTTCCAGGGAATCTGACGCCCTCTTCTGGCCTGTGAGGGTATTTCATGCATGGGTGCACTTACATCAGGCAAAACACTCATGTACATAAAATAAAAATAAATATAAGGGCCAGGCGTGGTGGCACACACCTTTAATCCCAGCACTTGGGAGGCAGAGGCAGGCAGATCTCTGTGAGTTTGAGGCCAGCCTGGTCTACATAGTGAGTTCCAGCCCAGCTGGGGCTATAGGGAGATCCTGTCTCAAAAAGATGCCCCCCCAAATTATATATATATATATAAATGACAGAATCTCTGGCCTCCCCCACTTCACTTCTTGCTTTACTTTTTGCATAGTAATTAATAGCATCTAGATTTTGGGGGGTGGTTGGGGAGGTGCTGGGGATAGGACCTAGGGCCTTGTGGGTGCTGAGCACACGCTCCCCCAATGAGCCTCTTCCCTTGCATCCGGCGTGTACCATCGGATGGCTTTACTTATGTACTGGGTTGGCTCCTTTTTCGCATGGTCAGCTCCGTGCTCCATCTACCTTGTTTCAGGTGCTGGAATTACGTCCAGCTGGGTGGAAGGTAGCAGGCTCAGGAGGTGCTGGGAGAGCAAAAGAAGTAACTGGGAAGCAGCAGCTGCCGGAGTCCACCAGTGAGGGGCTGGGGTGCTGCCCGCAGTGGAGCGCCTGCCTAGAACCTACAAGTGAGGGTCCGTGGTGCCGCTCAGTGGCAGGCACTCCCTAGCATGCACTGGGTTCCATCCCCAGCACCACACACACAAGTAATAGCGTACTATCTGTTTATGTCTTAGAGTTTACTAGGTAAGGACCTGTACGGACTTTTACTGTCTTAGGGTTGGCCTGTCCAAGTTCCACGGTGTTAATTGCCTTTCAGGTTAGTCATATCTGTGTCTTCAATTGTGTCCCTTTGAAAATGGGAAACCACAGTATTTTGTGGAGTAAGTTGTAGGCAGATCTGGTAAATGTCTTGTAATGTACGGCATTCCTTTTTATTTTAGGAGCATTACAGGCCCAGCCATGTTCTGTCAGGAGGAGCTGCAAACACCGCTCTGTATTTGTTGAAGCATTCGGCAATTAAATTAAAATGACTTTTCAGAACACTGTGAACTGTTTTAGAAACTCTGGAAAGAAGGTCTGTCAGCAAGTACATATTTATGGCACTTTTCTGTAAAGCCTCATCAAGACTTTTCATCTTTTCCTATATGGAAGGAATGTATAGCTCAGTGTGAGGACACAGGCCTATAATCCCAACACATGGGAGGCTGAGGCAGGAGGATTACAAGTTAGAGACCAGCAGGAGCTACATAGCAAGACAGTGTAACAAAAAATAACAAGAGCAAAAAAGCCATTGTGGTGGGAGGCAGAGCAGGAAGATCAAGGTCAGCCTCAGCTACATAGTGAGTTTGAGGCCAGCCTGGGCTACATGACATCTTGACTTAAAAAACAAAAACTAACAAAGTGGGCTAGAGAGAGCTCATCAGGCACCCAAGTTCAGTTCCCTGCACCCACGTCAGGTTGCTTACAACCACCTATAATTCCTGCTCCAGGTGATCCCATACTCTCCTCAAGCCTCTGAGGACACCTGTACTCATGTGTACATACCCCCACACAGATACATACATGTACAAAATAAAAATAAGAAAGCTTTAAGGGGGCTGGAGAGATGGCTCAGCGGTTAAGAACACTGTCTGCTCTTGCAGAAGACCCAGGTTCAAATCCTAGCACCCACACGGCAGCTAACAACTGTCCGTAACTCCAGTCCCAGGGGATCCGACAGCCTCTTTTGACCTCCACAGGCATTGCACGACACGGGAGCACTTACCTACTTGCAGGCAATATACGCATACACATAAAATAAAAATAATAAATTTTTTTTGAAAAGCTTTAAGAAAAAAACTAATAAAACAAATAGCCTAAAGGACTGAGCCTGTGGGTATGTTTGTACATGTCATTTTAAAATGACTGAGGGGGCTGGAGAAATGGCTCAGTGGTTAAGAACAGTGGCTGACATGGTGGCTAACAACCGTCCATAACTCCAGTTCCAGGGGAATCCAACGCATTCTTCTGACCTCCTCAGACATTGCCCGACACGGGTGCACTTACATAACACAAGTAATACCTTCATACACATAAAATAAAAATAATAAATAAAAAATTTTTTAAGTGAACTCTGATGGCACGGGAGATCTGGTTCATCCTGCACTCAGTTTTATAGACTGCTGTAGCTAACTTCTACTGCGCCTTCCAGTCAACCCTCCCCAGTATGAGATCTGTGATAGTACCCACTACTCAGGAGCCTGGCTGTCACACTGGGTGCAGCAGGGTTCACACAGGCAACCTGCACCCCCAGGACTTCAGCTGTTCGTTTAGCTTCCCCTTGAGGACACTGGGTTCTGCAGCACAGACCCTGTCTGGAGTGTGTCCAAGCTCTCTCTGTGTGATCACGTGCTGGCCAGTGTTGCTTCTCCAGAGCTCCCACTCAAGGCTGCCCCGGCTGTTCTCGACACTGTAGTTCCCCTAAGGATGACACCAAATGACAGGAGGATGATGTCATTTCCCAATTTCTGCTGAGGTTGGCACCATCGAGCTAGACTGCAAAGCTGGCCTCCTGACATCAAGACCTTTATGTTGGTGGAGGGCAGAGGGCACTGCAGAGGCTGCCATCTGCCTTCGAGGCTGGACAGCACTGGTTAGCAGGCATCTGGCAGTGGAGGATGGTTGTGCGGAGCTACTTCTCTCCGTCCACCTTGATGTGGTTCCTGGTATGGAACCAGGCTTCAGGGTACCAGGCTTCAGCCTGCCGAGCCATCTTGCTGGTCCAGTTTACAGTCTTACTTCTTCATTTAGTGGCAGAAGAGCTTTCTGTGTGATTACTAGAAAATGAATTGTTTTGTCAGAGTTTTAGATTTTTAGTAGCTGTATTGTTATACTTATGTTTTCATTTATTTATGGATTTTTGTTTTGTGTTTGTCTTTTTGAGACAGGGTCTCCAGCTGTCCTGGAACTCACTATGTAGACCAGGCTGGCCTCAATCTCAGCGAGATCTACCTGCTTCTGACTCCCAAATGCTGGGACTAAAGGCATGTGCCACCATGCTCAGCCATTTATTTATGTATTTATTTTATAGTTCTGGAGCTCAAATCCAGACCCATGAACAAATCAGGCAAACATTCCACCTCTCAGCTATATCTCCAAGCCTATTATTTATTTATTTATTTATTT